TTCCCTTTCCCAGGGGAAGGTGGGGCCTCGAACGGATTCCTGCATCATCTCGGACTCTCAACTACCAGGTCTCTCTCTCTCTCTCTCTCCTGGCTGGCCTGGCCATGTTGGGCAGAGTACGTGTGTGACATGGGGGATCCATGGGGCCTGCTTGGATTTTCTATAATAAGATTGTACCTGCCAAAAGTCTTTAGTCCTAACACGATGACTTCCTGGATCTTGCATATGCTCCACTAAACTTGTCACTGCCAAAGCCGGCGTTATTGAGTGTCACTCTGGACCGGGGCCTGACACCCCCTCTGTGGAGTAGCTGAGTCGTCCTGGACTGCACCAGGCGAGTCCCCAGCCGACTGAAGACGTCGGTACAGAACCACGTTGGGCTGGCCGTTTAAGTGCAGCTGGCCACTGCTGCGGCGGGTTGCAAGGCCTCAGCGCATGAGCCACCCTCCACTAAGTGGCACCACCTCCCTCACGGAGACCGCGGCACGGGGGCGGGGTGTCCGCAGAGGGGCAGCGCTCCCTGCTGGAGGGTGGAGCGGAGGCCCAGCAGCAGGCAAGCCAGGGGCCCCCCCCCCCACTGGCAGCTGTGGCTGGCTGGTTAATGGGGACCCCCCCCTGAGGGCAGCCGAGGGGGGCTCTGGGCCTGTGGAAGGGCTGACCGGTCGGTCTGGCCTCACCGTGGGGCTGATGCTGGAGGCCGCTGAGAGTCACAAGGCCCACCGGCCTGGCACAGAATCACAAAAGCGGTTCTGCCACAGGAAGCTCAGTTCTGAGTAAACCGTGGAGCAAATTATGGGCCGGTTTTTCCAGAAGAGTCCTTCGCATTCTGCCTCTCAGATTCTTAAGCGACAAACATCTCTGCTGAAGAGGTCTGTTGGGCCACGTCACCTTCTCACACTCCCAACAAGCAGCTCTTGAAATGAACAAGCTACGGAAGTATTTTGACTCCTCAGACACAAAACTCCAGCTTTGGGCGCCTGGAACAACGTCTCCTCTGTGTTCAGTGAGCTCCCCAGTCCCCCCGCTCCTCACCTGTGCTCAGTATCTTGTCTCCGATCTTCTGCAGGAAGGAGGGAATCTGTTGCTGAACAATGGTGTATCTTTGATCCCAGTATTTATCGTTATAATCTTCCTGGATCTTTTCCTTCTGCAGCTCATGTTCTTCCACCATGAACTCACTGCAGGATTAAAACAGGTGAGGTTCTGGAGAAAGGCGCAGAGAAACGTGCGTGTGTGGGGGGGCGTGGGGGGGGTGGAGGCTGCAGTGTAGAGACTGGGGGGGGGGGTTCCCTCCGGTTTGCCAGGGCCCTTCTTTCTTCCGGTTACAGCCAGGGCACCAGAATGTCCAGGGTGTGCAATTCCGCAAGGGCATTCAAGCGGACAAAGCCTGAAATAAAAGCTCCGCCAACTCGGATGAGAAAAAGTCTCCCGTATGCAAACACCCCCTCCCGTCCACAAAATCATGCCTCTGCTAAAACCCACTCTATTTTGACGGCCGCCGGGAAGAGGGAGGCGCAGTGAGCCATACCCGTAAGGGTCGTTGATAATTCCCCTGTAGATCCACTTCTCCAGGATTTCAAAGTAGGGGACGCTGGCGGCCTTGGTCAGGTAGAGGCACAGCTCCTGCGCCTGGCTGTCCCCCGTGTAGTTGAACGTCTTGTCGTGGAGCAGGCTGAGGGTGGAGCCCCCCAGGCAGTCCCCTTTGTCCACAGAAGCAGCTGGGGGGGGAGGAAGGAAGGAAAGAAAGGGGGACTTCACTCGCTCCCCTGAACACACACAAAACCGCCTGCAGCAACCGCCTGGCTGTCCCGGGGTTGGATCCTGCCTAGATTTCTGTGGGCACAAGGAGGGGACTTCTACCGATCCCTCCCTCCCAAGGCAGCCCCAAATACCTCCCCCCCCCAAAAAAAAACATGTACACGATGACGGTGCTCCTGGGGGACCCCTGGAAAGAGCCTTGGGGGAGGATCAACGTTCTCCTGCTGGGGGGCGGGGGGGGGAGGAATCTGCAGAGAAATCTGGGCGGGGGGAGCCAAGGGCCCCTCCTCCCCCCCCCGCCAAGGGGGCCCTGCAGGAGACGCGCCTCCCCCTCACGGTGCCGGGACACCCAACCCACCAGCCAGCCTCAGCCACCCACTGTCCTCAACGAGCCCCTAAGGCGGCAAGAGATCTTCCTCCCCACCTCCATTCTGAAAGGGTCTGAACAGCGCCAGTTACGACGGCCTGGAAGGGTGTGGGTGGTGGAGGAGGAGTCCTCCTGGAAGGGTGTCCAAAGCATGTGACCCAGGGAACCAGGCCTCACCGGGGGGGTGTGTGTGTGTGCTTCCGCACGTGCCTTCTTCTCTGCGGGGCTGCGGGGGGGGGGGGGTGCGTGCTCCCTCATCTCCTCCAATTAGCCCCGCCCTGTGCTGAAGCCCAAGACCTGGCTGGGTGGGTGGGAGAGGCTGAACTCTCACTCGGGACTCCGGACAAGAAGCGATCTGGGCCCTGGCTCTAAGGGCAGAGGGAAAGGGGAGTGCTCGGAGGAGGAGGAGGAGGAGGGGGGCACGTCGGTGGACGAGGAACGGGGCCAGACTCCACAGCCAGCCAGCCCCCCCAGACACACACACACACACCAGAGAGAGAGAGAGAGAGAGAACGGCCCCCCCCACTCACCCCCCCCCCCCCCTTTTCCCCCCCCCCGCTCACCGAGGAAGGCCTGGATCTCCATGGTCCTCATGGTGGGCTGGATGTAGAACCAGAGCTTCTGGAGGGAGAGCAGCCCTTGGCGCTGCAGGTGCTCCAGCTGGGTGACCAGGATCATGTACTCCTTCACCAGGGTCCTCATGGCGGCCGCCAGGGCGTGGTTGACCTGCCCGTACTCAAAGGAGGACTTCTCCTCAATGAACCTGGGGGGCAGAGGCAGAGGTCAGGGCGCTCCCGCCCAAACCGACCCCCACGCCCGGGGCCCTTCTGGCGCCACAGAGCAGAGCGGCAGGAGCCCTGGAACGGAGCCAGGGAGACCCCCCCTCCCCCACCAACCCACGAGGACGTGTCTCCTGGGCAGACCCCAGGGGTGGCAGCGGTGGCAGCGGCTGCTCTCTCACAAGTCCCACCACAGGCCGTGAGCACAACAGTGCCCCGGAATAGGTGCCAACAGCTGCATGGGCAGGGTGATTTTTACAGCGCCCGGGCCTGGCACGGTCTGAGCTGACCAGAGACAGTTCTTAGATGAACTTTCCCACCACAGAGCACCTATAAATGGCCAGCTGCCCCCTCCCTACCTGTAGCCTGGAAAGACCCACGGCGACAGCTGGTACCTTGTCACTATGGAGTAACTTGCAGCCACGGGGAGGATCCGGGTGACCAGTTCCTTGACAGACATGTCCAAGTTAGGGTCCACCAGGAAAGTGCGGTTCTCTCTCCCAACAAGGGGCTGCGCAGTGATGTATCTGCCATCCACGCCGATCAACACGTACAAGAGGTCCTCCACGACCGCAGACTCTTGGGACGCCAGGGGTAACGATCCTGGTAAAGAAACACAAGGGTAGAAAGCAGCAACTCAAAAGTACGTTCAAAAAGGAGGGAACACCCGCTCCCGCGCAGTATCTGTAGCCAGCCCAGCCCAACAGAACCTCCCCCCCAAAGAAACAAAAAGGTTGATGAAAGAGTATTTATACGAAATATAAATCTGAACTTAGATCCTGCTGGTTTTTAAACAGTATAAATATCCTTATATAAAGAAGAAGAGAAGCGGCGATTGGATTTATACGCCACCCTTCATTACCCAAAGGAGTCTCAGAGCGGCTTACAAACTCCTTTCCCTTCCCTTCCCTGTGAGGTAGGTGGGGCTGAGAGAGCTCTCTCGAGAACTGCATGTGAGAAAATGGCTCTGAAAGAACTTATGACCCAAGGTCCCACCAGCAGCAGCATGTGGAAGAGTGGGGACTCAAACCCGGTTCTCCTAGATTAGAATCCACACTCTTAACCACTACACCAAACTGGCTCACGAAAAGGCAACTGCTAAACCAACAGAAGGTTTCACAGAACATAAATCACTCTGGTCACCAGCACTACTGAATGCATTTAAGAGCCTCAGAGGAGACCTGCTGGATCAGACCAGGGAGGGTCCATCTAGTCCAGCCTCCTGTCTCACACAGGGGCCAACCAGTTCCTCTGGAGCGCCAGCAACAGGGCATAGAGGACAAGGCCTCCCCTGATAGGAACATAAGAAGAGCCCTGCTGGGTCAGACCAGTGAGGGTCCCTCCAGTCCAGCCTCCCGTCTCACACAGGGGCCAACCAGTTCCTCTGGAGCGCCAGCAACAGGGCATAGAGGACAAGGCCTCCCCTGATAGGAACGTAAGAAGAGCCCTGCTGGATCCGACCAGGGAGGGTCCATCTAGTCCAGCCTCCTGTCTCACACAGGGGCCAACCAGGTCCTCTGGAGGTTCCGACAACAGGAGAGATGTTGAGGCCTTCCCCTGATGTTGCCTCCGGGCCCTGCAATTCAGAGGTTGACTGCCTCTGAACGTGGAGGTTCCCTCTAGTCTTTGAACAAAGAAGGGAAACAAACTTAACTCCGAAAACTAGGATCAAGAACCTGAAAAAGTAAGTCAAGCCGAGCAGAGGGCCAGCATTAACTGACTTACCTTTTCAGGTTCTTGGTTCCCTTTAGTCACCAGGGTTAGCAGCCACTGGATTCTTCCATGCATCTATCTGATGCCCTTTTAAAACTATCTATTTGGACATGCTTATTTTCATCAGTGGTCCAACATACCACATTTTCAAAATGCAACTTATTCCTGTGTCAAAAAAGTGAAAAACGTTTGGGGCCTTATGGACTCAGTCCCATGCAATCCGGCATTTAAGCAATATCCACACGTCAAAAAGCATCAGAAACACAGAAACTGTAGCTGTGTTGTGGGACTTAAGTCAGCCAATAGTCCTTTGCAAGCTTATTCACAGTAAACAACAAAATGCAAAAAGAAAAATTCCCAAAGAATACAAACCCCTCCATCGTAAGTATTACAATTACAGTTCTTCATGATCTGTAAACTCAGGCAGATCACGAGAGGGCAGGAAGGGTTGCCTCAGTGCTTAGTTCTCGTGGCCCTTCCTTACACGCCCAGGGAAATGTCGATCACCACTTTGGGGTCAGGAAGCAATATTTCTCCAGGCTGGTTTGGCCGGGGATCCTGGAGGTTTTTTGTCATCTTCTGGGCATGGAGCAGGGGTCACTGGGGGTGCATGGAGGGGGAGGTATTTGTGAATTTCCTGATTTGTGCGGGGGGTTGGACTAGATGACCCTGGAGGTCCCTTCCAACTCTATGATCCTATGATCTAAGTTCATACCCAAAAAACCTGGCTCCAAATCTCTTTTAAAAACTCATTGTCACATTTATCTCACAGCTTTGCTTCAGCCACAGGCTTGGCAGCTCTCATATCCAAGACAAATTCTATCCCAGAACATATATCTGCATATGGCACTGATTTTATCCTACAGAATCCAAAAGAATCTTTCACAGTTTTTATATAACTGTTAAAATGTTTTGTTTGAACTTCTGGTTAAAAAGTAAGTTTGTCTAAATCAGTTTTAATGGGAGCAAACATGGTGGGAAGGACGGACATAACAGGAAATGACCCGGCCCTTCTGGCAGGCAAGGAACAGCAGAGGCCTCAGGGCAGAAAAGTTAAGGCGGCTTTTAAGACAGACAGAAGTGAACCTTAAGAAGTGGCCCAAGTGGATGGCCATGTCCCAGGTAAAGATCTCTGCCAGATTTCCTGTCTTCTGTGATCCCATTTAACCCCCCCTGATCAGTCAGTATTCAATCAACTTATATGGACCTACAAAAAGTCACGGGTGCAAAATGTAGTGCTTCAACCATCCCGGCAAAGTGGACGTCTTGGCCACACCTTAAGGGACTAGCTTGCCCGAGGCCTGTTCATGATCTCCGACCGGTTTAAAAAGGATGACTGAGGGGGGGGGGGGGCCTTGGCCCGTGAGCCCTTTTTGTTTTTTCCGCAGAATAAATCATCATCTAAACTAATGACGTTGTCTTTGCAAGTACAGCTCTTTGATGATACCGTAAACCCACAAAGGATCATCTGCCCGTCTCCTGGTTACTGATCTTTGCCAATAGTCTCGCCTAGCCTGGTACATTTCCTGTGCATATTCAAGTAGCTCTTGCATCATAGGTTAGCAACACTACCCTACCACAGAGCTTGACTCCTAAATCTGCACCAACAGGGTCCCAGATCAAAAGGGGCACCAATCAGAGTACAACCCAAAGTTTTGCACCAAAATGGACCAGCAGCAGACCTTCTCCACTGGCACCCAGGTAAATCCAGGTGCATAAAGCAGGGCCTCTCGAGCTCTCTGTTTCTGTACTGGGTTATCCTTCAGAACCGCCTTCCCTCATCACAAACTCCACGAACCCTTCCTCTTCAAGACAGGTGGAGCATAATTTCTTCTCTCCTCTTCTGGGCAACCTCCTACCCATCTCACACAGATACGCGAAACATTCACTCCATCAGCTGCCCATCAGTGACCAGGGTGAAGTCAAGACAATGGCTGTCACATATGGAGCATCTCACGGCCTCAGACCCCCACCCCTGCCGAGCCTCTCCTGCTGTGCTATTGCGACAGCTTTGCTCATCTCCGTGGGGCCTTTTGCAGGTGCCGCTCTCTCCTGGGCATTCCGCAGACTGTGCAGAACTGAACTATTGAGAACAGCATTTTCACTAAGGTAATGGGGCAATATTGGAATGACTCAGGAAGATGCTTTAATAAAGGACAAAGGACTCTGGACACTATCCGTATGCACAGGACAGCCTCTGTTGCTGTAGACATTATCCTACTGTGTAGTTTCTGCATTGTTTTACAGGTTACAGTGATACTTATGCTTTGCTTCTGAGACTCTAATCCTATGAGATTGCTAACTGGATGTCCCATCCAGTGTTCCCTCTAAGCTGAGTTAGTGTGAGCTAGCTCACAGTTTTTTAGCCTCCAGCTCACACATTTTTGTCTTAGCTCAGGAAAGATGGCTCCAAAGCAAACTAATTTTATGCAGCAGCCAAACTACCTGCTCACCACTTTAATGCCAGCAGCTCACAAAGTAGAATTTCTGCTCACAGGACTCCACAGCTTAAAGGGAATATTGGTCCCATCCAATGCTCCCTCTAAGCTATGGAGTCTTGTGAGCAAAAATTCTACTTTGTGAGCTGCTGGCATTAAAGTGGTGAGCGAGCGATTTGGCTGCTGCATAAATTAGTTTTCCATCCTTTTTGAGCTAAGACAACAATGTGTGAGCTGGAGGCTAAAAAACTGTGAGCTAGCTCGCACTCACTCAACTTAGAGGGAACACTGGTCCCATCCTGTCAACTGCCCTGATGTGTGTACTGCGTGAGACCTGCACTGAGTCTTAGTGAGAAAGACTCACTACAAGTAACATACATAAAGCTTTATTGGAATAATAGTTGTAAAAATACTTGTAAACAACACAGCGTGTAGTTTCCTTACTTTGAGGGAGGGGAAAACCCCCAAAGCCCGGCTGACCTCACAGGGTGGTTGTTGTGAGGAGAGAACAGAGGAGAGAAGACTCAGGTTGTGAGGTGCTTTAAAGAAGAGGGGTTTTTGTTATACCCCACTTTTCTCTACCCTAAGATACAATCGCCTTCACTTCCTCTCCCCACAACAGTGAGGCAGAAGGGGCTGAGAGAGTTCTGAGAGAACTGTGACTGGCCCAAGGTCACCCAGCAAGCTCCATGTGGAGGAGGAGGAGGAGTGGGGAATCACACCCGGCTCTCCAAATTAGAGTCCACTGCTCTTAATCACTACTCCACGCTGGCTTTGGGTCTCCACGGGGAAGAAAGGCAGACTATAAACACCTAGATGAAGGTGTGGCGAACACGTAGGCAGGGGGGCGCTCACCCGCCACTCTTGCACGACTCCTCACCTATGGGCACTGTTGTGTCTGTGCTCAAACTGGAGCCAGTGAGAAAATCCCCAATGAGCGCTGGTCTCTCGTACACCCAGGCAGGAAACGATGGGACGAGCTGGCCAGAATTCTTCTTGTTCTGCTTCTCTCTGAGCGTCTTTCGAACAAACTCCAGAGGCTGCCAAGAAAAGAGAGGACAGGCAGCAAACCTGGCTTTCAGAGGGCCTCTGTGCCGGATCAGGCAGCGGCAGCAGCGGCTCCGGGGGGGTGGGGGTGGGGACTGATGATCCAACTTCAACCACCTTGCTCATGTTTGGGGGGGGGGGAGGCCCTCTACCTGCAGGGCGGCGGAGGTGGTGGCGACGGTGCCCAGCTGCTTCCGCAGCTCCTCCAGCTCCTGCGCCGTCATCTTGGGT